TTGCTGACGTGCGTGCATGCACATACACCCACTTAAGAGTCATTGCCCTTTAGGTTTTTAACAAGGAAGTCTGCATAATTTGATTTCAAATGAATGAATATTCTTATTGAGCCATTCTGCTTTCATAGATTTATATATACTTGTGTTTATTCTCGCAACATAGGTTAACCATATGATATCATGTATATGGCAGCATCTTTACCTGGTACAACTGACCCACTGCTACAGAGGGAGAGGCTATATCTTTTGGCTGTTGGGTATTACAGAAGTGGTGATTATTCAAGGAGTAGGGATCTTGTGGATAGATGCCTATTGGTATGGCCTTCTGACTCCAGAGTTGCTAATTAATCTAGGAAAATGGCTGCTCTTTAAGCCCCTCTAAAATTTTTGTTTTCTTCTTGGCCGATTTGAACTCCGTTGTCTGGTTTGTAAATCCTTTAGAGATTTTTAATGTGTAAATGTATAACTGCCATCTTTATCTTGAATTATCTTGCTTAAAATACCTGCCTTCATCGATTGTGAAAGAATCTGATTTCTATCAATGCAAAATATTCATTTACCTAGGAATTCTCAACAACTGTTGCTTGTACTGTAATTGGTTGTTTCCATTTTTGATATGTCTGCTGAATTTAACTTTAAATTATCTGCCACAGAAGCTTTGTTTTGAACCCCTACTGTTTGGTTGGCACTAGTTCATTACTATTTTATATCATCTGTGACCAGAATAAATATACGCATTTCTGAATTTGTTCTCTTCTCAAATACTGAAGTTGGATACATAAATCTTGAAAGTTATGAGGGAAAGTCTGGCAGAATTTGTGTGTAATTTTGAGTGGTTTGATGGTATTATGTTATCTTTTACTTCCAAATTTGGCAGAAAAGTCTAGTAAATATTTCCTTCAACTTGAAGATGTTGTCTAGTGCTTTTTACCAGTTCCTTTTACTGAATTTTGACCATTGCTTTGACAACATCTTTGTTTTATAGATTGCTCCTGACTGGAGGCAGGCAGTGACGCTCAAGAAGATAATTGAAGACCGGATCACAAAAGGTTCTCCCACAATTACCAATGTTTCCTTAAACATTTCCTGCGTTTCTTATCAGTTTGGTGATGGTATCGTGATCTAGGGTGTCCTGAAGTTTTGTGGCAGACAATCCCCTTCCTAGGCAATAATATTTGTTATGCTCTACCTCATTCTCTTACATTTATGGTTTGGTGGCTCTAGAGCCATAGGGAAAAATTCTTACATAGATATATTGTGCAAGCTGGTTGTGCAAGGAGCCAACTATAATTCACTAATGTTAAGGCTCCTCATTCAGGGACTTTTCTCAGACACTTGTTATTCTGATCCTCTTTAGTTTTGGCTTCTTGCATCAAGACAACTCTGCCCTGCAAGAAGTACATGAAAATTTCTGGGAGTAAAAGTGAGGGTTTCTTGTTATTGATTTGATTTCAGCACTGATTTTGTCATTTTTTGCCTTTTCCCTCATATATTGTAGATGGTGTCATTGGCCTTGGCATCGCTGCAACTGCTGCAGGACTGGTAGCAGGTGGGATCGCAGCAGCAGTATCAAGAAAGAAGTGACAGTGTCCTTTTCATTCACTCAATGTTCAAGAAATGTAATATCAACCACCGCTTTCTGCTTCATACTCAATAAGAGGCGGAACAGCTGATATGTATGCTCTCGATGTGAGATTGATCCTTCTGTTGAGATATGTGTTTGGTGTATGTGTATAGATGTTTTCTTTTACATTTGGCAACGTATACTTTTAGTCCCTAATATTTGCTTTCAATTGTCATTTTACTCCCTTTCTTTTAATTCTGTCAATCTGGTCGGTGGTATTTGATTCATTCATATGCTTTCTTGCTATCTAATGAACGGGAGCAAATCACTGAATACCTGCATCCTTGTGTGGGTGTTGCAACGATTCACGGCCATGTCGGGAAATTTACTTTGGCAATGAACTAGAAGATCCCCTGTTAATAAATTTATGTTCCTGGTTCAGATGGGGAGGACTGTTATGAGTCCCATGTTGAGAGCCTCACAAGTGTATTGTACTTGATAAGTTTAAAGGACTTTTCTTCCTAATAGACTAGTTTTTTGGAGATTAGACTGTCTTTTTGTGTTTGTATTCATGACATTGGTGTTTTTGTTAAAATTCCCATGTTTATGTAGAGAGCTACCCATGGATGGTTCTGAACAGCAAGAGGTCAAGTGAAGTGCATCTAGGTGTGGTGTGATTGATAAGTTTAAGAGATTTTCTTTTCTTATAGGTTAGTCTTTAGGATTGGGTTTTCTCTCAGTGTTTGTGTTCATAACAATGGCCTGCATTTATAGTTGGAGGTGTTCAATACCCCTGAAATTTTGGATGCTTAAACCCCACCACAACAATTGCAGCTTGTTTAAGAGGGTGTTTGGATAAAACCAAATAATAGTTTAAAGAATAGCTTCTGATAAAAAAGTTATTTTTGAGAATAGATTTTGAAAAAATGAGAGTGTTTGGATAGTTGTTATTATTAGAAACACTTTATATATATATAAATTACTAAAAGGAATACAAGTTAATATGATAATTACATAAAAGATAGATTTTATTGGGGGTGTACATGGGGAGGGCTGGCCAGGACAAGACCTTTGCTCGATGCCCAGCTCGAAGTATGAGTGGGCTCCATTTTGCAGCCTGTTGCCTGGCCCTACTCATAGAAGCCCTAACTATTTTGGACAGGCAAGGCGGGCTTCGCTGCCCAAATAGTGATGACCTGTTGATATCACATGTAAAAAAATTTTTGTCCATGCCTAAAAATACATTTTATAATTTTACATTTTTACATATTGAAATTATCCAGAAATAATTTGAAACAAGTGTTAGCAAATATCCAAATAAATAATATTCATAATCTATTTAGAACAAACAACTCTCAAGATTATAATTAAAGCCTTGAAATTCAAACGGTTTGTATCAATCTCTAGAAAGTTGAAAAAAGAATAAAACATCTGAAAAAATTGAAGAGGGGTTGAAGTACATTGAGACATTCCATTGAGGGTCGGGGATGGCGATGTAATAGAAACTTGATTATCCATTCAAGTGACAAAAATTAAATGTTACCTAAAGGATTGTAAAAGGATATTAAAACTGAAGCAATGGGCTAACATGAATAATATAGACCATATAAAAATAGGGTGAAAATAATTGTAAAAAGAAAAATAAAAAATCTTATAATAATTTAATATAACCACTTTTAATATGCAAACATTTATTATGCCATACAATGCAGTTAGCATTCTATACAACTAAAAGACTTCTTTCTATCATATAACTTGTTTATAAAAAATTAATACAAAATAACTGAATATAAATTAAATAAAAAATAAAACATGTAATTCAAATAATTAAACCCCAATTTTCTTTCCCTGCTCCAACCCCAATCTTGTTTTCTATCTTTGTATAAATATTTAAAATTGTTGATTTATACAAATATGTAATGTATAAACTCCATTCTCTAACAAAGAAAGTTGTTAATAGCATAGAGGAAAAGATTGACTTATAAATAGCCAATATTACAACAGCAACACACAACAGGATATACCCAATAAAACTCACGAAAAACAAATTAAAAGCAAAATACTATTGCTTCTTTAGAAGAATTAGATCCTCTAAAATGAAAAAAATAATAGAAATGTGACAATAATAAATTAAATTGCAAAGAGGGGGGAGATAACTTTTTTTTTTTGGTAAAGAAATGTAATATATTAATATTATTTCATAAATTATAATATATATAATCCGAGTAGGGCCAAATGGGGTAGGGCAACATGTCTTGCTCGATGCTCAGCCCTGCCGATAAAATGCCCAGTCTAAAGATGCCCATTCTTTTTTGGGCTCTTTTTTTTTTTGGGCTAGGCAGGGCAGGGTAATTTTTCTCGGGCGGGTTCAGCGAGCATTTGGGCTTCATGTACATCACTGGATTTTATAATATATTTTTATTTGAAGTAATAAATTTGTTAATAATATATTTTTTTTGCCAACATAATAAATAATATATAAAAATGTAATTAATAAATGATTAATATATGTATATATATTTATAAAATATAAGATTAAAATGTTTCCTTAGGCTAGCAAAGGCGGAATGAATTTTCAGAGAAAAAAGCTTGTAATTGAATATGAGGGTGTTATTTGTCATATACCGTTGGGTGACTTCTAACAGAGTATAATGATGATGCCAACGACCCAAAATTTCTGTCCAAAAGTGAAAATATTCTGCTTGTTTTGAAAGTTAGGTTTTGGCCCAAACCACAGTTTGATAAAAATACTAAGGGAATGTTTGGATGGAAATTAAACCATTTAAGAAGTGTTTTTACAGTTTACGAAGTAAATATGTAAATGAGTTTGCCTCATTTTGCAAAAAAGTACTTTTGAGAAGCACTTTTGAAGGTTGCCAAATACCCCCTAAGCAATTATCTAGCCCAAACTATGGTTTGGTTACAAAAAGTACTTTTTAAGAAATTGCCAAACACCCCCTAAATGATGCCCTCTCCAATAGGATAAATGATAAAAAGATTTATTCCCATTCAGCGTCTGCTAAGTTAGTGCTGGAGGCTTTGCAGTAATATTAAAGGCTTAACTTGAACTCCTAGTAAAGGATAATTTAGATTTTCACCAAGTCTCCGTTAAAAAATTACAGGATAGCTAGTACTCTACATTGAACTCCCTGACAAAACCCTTTGCCTCTCTTTATATTTGCGTTTGTTTTTGCATTTTGTGCCAAATACTCAAACAAGACCATTGAAGATAACTATATCAAGTTCAAGATGGGATCTAGGAGGTCTTACATTTATTGATAATCATATTCAAGTTTAGTACATATGATCCATGTTACGCTGCTGAAGATTTTTGTAACATCACACAGTTCACAGACACAAATAAAACGCCTTACAGATTTTCAACTTGGCCAGTTTTTATTGGGACAAAGATTCAAGTCCTGCTAACTTGAGTTGTTCAACTAGAAAAGAGCTCCTTAAACGACATCAGAACAATTGGGCTTCTCACCTTGTGGGTCCCATCTGACCATGTCAATGATGAGGTGCATGCCGTTTGATTTTTGAAGCCCCTTTTGCTAGTAATACTAACAACGAAAGACCTCTTCTCGTTCAACGATTTGAAGGAAAGAACCTTAGGGTTTACTGTAATATTCAACCTCAAATATGCTGGTATAATGCTTGCTTTGTAGGTTGAATTGGCAAATCCAACATTTGTCACTGTCCTCTTGAACTGAACCTTGAATGGCGTAAAAGGCTTAACATTAACTCCCATTAGCGGATAATTCAGATTTTTGACCAAGTCTCTATGAGAAGATCTGGGACAACTGCTATTGTCTCCAGACATCTGCTTAACCATAGAGCTGTCATAGCCAAAATTGCACAACATTTCTACATAATCTTTCTGAGATATGTCATAAACCAACCCAGGATCACTGGCTTGTATTGGATCCACGTGCCCCGATCCATATTCAAACTCACCAATTGCATCATCAGAATAAGCTTTCTTCATAGGTCTTGCTGTTGTTAAAATGGCTGATTTGATAGCCGCTGGTGACCAATCTGGATGAAGGGTCTTCAAATATGCAGCTATTCCAGAAACATGCGGGCAAGCCATGGAAGTCCCTGACAAAAAATTGTATTTGACAGATCTGTTTTCATCTGCAAATTCTGAAACAGGTGCAACAGGTGAATATGCAGCCAAAATATCAACTCCAGGAGCACTTATATCCGGCTTTAAGATCTCTGCTACATAGAAATTTGGCCCACGTGCAGAGAAATCAATTGTTCTTGGAGCCATTTTATCTACACAAATCTCACTCCTCTTTATCTCAGCTTTTGGATCGTGGGTTGAATTTATGTAGGACACGACAATGTCGAAAGAGTCTTTGGAAATGTCTAATGAAGGTAGTGACACAACTTCTGAGACATCTTCAATTCGGAAAAGTGAAGCTGTGATGACGCCAACTATACCTTGAGACTTAGCATTAGAGTTAAACGTAAACAGAGGACGATCACGACACAGCACAATCTTCCCTTTTACCAGGTTTGTGTCAAAACAAGAACAAAATCTTTGAAAATCTTTTGCACAACTTTTTGAATCACCATTTACCTTAGCTATAGGAAACATCGTACCATTTGAACCAAAAGCATTTATGGAATTCCCAATCAGTGTGTGTCCATTCCCAAGAACAAGTTTGTCGATGATTTTACGATCTGTAGTGCTTGCTGCTACAGCTAGGATCCATGGTGCCACACTTGAAACTGAGCCAAATGAAGGACCATAGTTGCCGGCAGCTTGGACGGTGAGGATCCCTTTCTCCATAGCGTGGAAAGATCCTATGGCTATTGGATCATCGGTTAAATCCCTAGGACCTGCGCTTGATAGTGACACTGAAATGATGTGAACGCCATCTGAAATGGCGTCATCAAAAGAAGACAAGATATCTTCGTCTGGACAATTTCCTAGTTTATCACAAGCTGCATAGGTAGCTATCCTCGCAGAAGGAACTCCTCCTCTTGCTGTACCTGTCGGATTTTTCCAAGATCACACATATAAATACATATATATGAGTGTGTGTGAGAGGAATCACTCTAGCTGTATGAAGTTTGAAGTAATTTGCGGTTTTATAATCTGAATTAGTTAATACTTATACATGCACGCTTAATATTTGAGATCGGCACGTGACCATATGACTACTAGTTTGCCTCAGTGGTTCGTAGTTCACTTTCAATATACTATTTCCGACCCTAATTATAAGATCAAGTCTATAAATGATATTTTATAATTAGGAATCGAGGAAGTATTTGGTGTTAAGAATTATTTTGACTCAAAGTTATTGTATGCAAGTTTTTTAAAATAAAAATTATTCACAAAAATCTTTTTTTTTTTTTTTAAGGGAGCTCACTTTCTTTTGACATATGAAAATATGAAATACATTCAGGCCAAAACAAAAGAAAATATGAAACACATACCATTTGCTATCCCATAAAAGCTGACTCCATGAACTATGTTCCCAGCTGCTATAGAGGCAGTGTGGGTTCCATGGCCTTCTTCATCTCTGGCAGAATCACTAGTTACAGGATAGTACCGAGCTCCAACGATCTTCTTGTTGCAGGTGAAGTTCTTGCCGCCAGCACAAGTCCCTCTCCATTTCTCAGGAACACCGCCGAGACCTTCGTCGCTGAAACTCTCCGACTCCGGCCATATTCCGGTGTCTATGAGTCCGACCACAACATCACTCTCAGCTGAAGAGTTTCGCTTTATAGCCTTCTCGACGAATCCCATGAAGTCCCATGATCTTGTCGTCTGAATTCTGAGAGTTTTGCTTTCAAACACAGAGACCACCTCGTCCATGTCAGCTATCTTGTCTCTTTGATCACTGGTGAGTTTTGCAGCAAAGCCATTGAAGCTCTTACTGTAACTTCGAACCAAGCAAGAACTTGCATTGACGACAGCTCCATCAATAACTTGTTGAAGAATTGTGAGGTGGTGTGAGGTTGGAGAATAAGAAGATGATTGCTTAGGAAGTGATCCCAAGTAGACGATGTAAGTCTTCGTATCATCACATGTTACTGAGGAAATAAGTGTGAGGAATGAAAGAAGAATGAAGAACAGAGAAATGAAAGCTTTGCAATACTGCTTGTTCATTGTGAATGTGTGCGTGTTTTGAACAAGAGACCCTGCTACTGGTATATATGGTGCAAGTCGTGAGTAAAATTTTATTTTGAAGTAAAAAAGAGATACACAAAATTTTAGTTAAGGTGAGGATTTCAAATATAGATATCTATATTCTATATTTCAATGAGACTAACTATCTCTGTATATCCGAAAATATAAGAGCTAGTTGATAGTTCTAAATATAAAATTCTAATTCACTTTGTATATCAAATTTATATAATGTGATCTAAAAAATATCCTTATTAATTGTAAACTGTTTTCACATGAGTGTATGTAGTTTTAATTCTAATGTATATAATTGAATAATGGTAATTTAAAAAAGTGAACACACATTTGTTATGAATAACTAATTTAACTAATTTTTTTTATATTTTTAAATTAGTTATCTAACTCTTATATTAAGAACTAGAATCAGTATTTTGCAAGGTTTATTCATATTTATGTTTAATGAAGTTAAAGTTCTCAGTTATTTTTGTTTTCTTTGTTCTATATGAAGAATAGAAAGTCACTTGCTAAGCATCAATAGAAATTAATTTATTTTAATCTTTTACTTTTTAATTAATTTAAAGGACCAAACTTTTTTTTTTGGGGGTTTAAATAAAGAACCAAATCGAGAGTGGAAGACCATATGGGCTTGTTTGAATATATTGTTATCGTTAAAAATAACTTTTATTCTATTTGAGTTTTAAAAAAAAATTAAAGTTGGGATAAAAATTAATTAGTACAATATGATTTATTTCTATATAATTTTTTATAAGAATATTAGTATTTAGCATTTTTCATTTAGAAGTAATTTATAGATGCTTTTTTTAGTATTATTTATACAAATATTTATAATCATGGTTCGAGATAAAACTCTTCTCACACACACATATATACTTATTTTTATATTCTATAAATCATAATTAAAAATAATCTATAAGCTATTTCAAAAAAGACCTTACCATATTTGAATTCCCACGAAAGTTTACGAAGCAACATGCGGATATGAAATATGAATGTACGACAGAGGACAGCATGAGCAGTGTTGGCGGTTTTACAGGAGAGGTCCATTAATCCTCTCAAATCAGTGCCTCCATTAATGGGATTCGTTATATCATTATTGCAAGCAAATCATATACAAGTTTTAGTCCAAACATGTCACAACAGATAATATAACACTTCCTCTGCTCGTTATATTCCAAATGTAAAAATTATTTAACTAATTTAAGTATATGAAAAAGATTAGTTAAATTAATTATTATTTAAAACAAATATAATTTAATCTTCTTAAAGTTCTATTTTTTTAATCATGATTATCTTTGGATGAATTTTTTTTAACATGTGTAATCAACAAAAATACTTTGAAAAATAAATTATAAATTTGGGAGACAAATTAGCTTTTATATTAAAAACTAAATGGTATTAATTGTAGAAACTTTATGTAAGTTTGGGTTATCTTAAGACATTTTCTCCAATTGTTTAATGCCTACATACCGTGTAAAATTTTTTTAATTAAAAGATAATTTTATCCAAACTTAACTTAAGTTAGTTATTTATAATAAATATGTATTGTTTTTCCTGAAATATCCTTATTAGTCAAGTGTATTAGTTAGAAATATCATTACTACAAGGATTATTTTAAAAAAAATAGATAAATATGAAAGACAAGTGGATTAGGGTCTTATATTTAAGACCAACATATAAATCAAACAAGTTCTTATATTAATCACCGGAGATAGTATTCAAGAAAAAAATAGCAATGTGGCATATATTTTTATTATATTGAAATTTATAAGTTTTTTCTTAAATTTTTATGGTTTTTTAATACATTATTTACATATAAAAGAAAAGTATTTAGTAATATTCACCTAAATTTTGTCTATATGCAAGCATATTAATGAACCATTCACTTTTCTACGCGCTGTAAATACTCGCATTACGTTCATTCTATGTATCGGAACGACTGAAACAATAAATGAATGGTTAATTTTGTTGCTCTTCGTGACATGTTTCAACTAAATTGGAAGAACATTTTTTTTTGGTGAGTAAATTACAAGCACATTTATTATCTCTTATTTGTTAACAAATAATTTAGCCATTAAATTCAGAAAATGAATCTATAAAATGACCAACACCACTCATGCATGAATATTTACAGCCTTGATTCATGAACAAATTAGAAATATATATTTAGGTCGCTGTGCAGATCTGAAATAGTCAATAATACTAATTATTAAATATTAAATATTTATTTTTTGAGTGAAACATTGAATATTTATTAATAAAACATATTTAAAAGATATTCAATTTAACACTGAAATGGATAACCAAAAAAATTAACACTCAAATGTGTACTGTGCCGTGCCCATGTGCATGTGTATGATTGCATGTGTGAAAATAGTCTGCAGACGAGTGAAGTTATGGTGAAGTTTGCTAATTATTTATGAAAATTCTTCTCAATTATCATGCTACCTTTGCTTTTTAATATAAGAGCTGGTTTGACTTTTAATTTGATTATAAATATACGATTTTAATTTACTTCATTTCTCATACTTATCTATTTTTCCTCCTAAAATAGTCCTTGTAATAATTAGACATGTTAAAAATTTCATTAAATGATATTTTTGGCTAATACATATGATTAGCAAGGGTATTTTTAGAAAGATAATACCTATTTTGTTGCAAATAACTAACCTAACTAGTTTTTTTAAATTTACTCAAATTAGTCAATTAGTTTTTATATTAAGAATAAGATATACGTAGTATTAATTTCGAGTAGTGATTCATTATAAAATATAACTATTTTTAATCACATATAAATTTTAATTAGTTTCCGTTTTGAAGCTTTCCCCTTTCAAGGCTTCGAGCACTCTTTTTAAGATACATTACAATCTTTTTAAGCACGCCGAATAATTCATTCGGTCTCTTTTTTTTTTTTCCTTTATAAGAATGTGGTATTTTAATTATTTTGGCAGCTTGAAAAGAAAACTTGTTCAGGTGCTAAATATAAGAATTATTAGAGAGTTTTGCTTTAATCTTAAATATAAATCAAAATATCAATTAATTTTGTCTCCCAAATCTTTAATTTGCTCATCAAACTATCCCTGTTAGTTGTGCTTATTAAGAGGGTTTCTATAATGCTATAGTTTCCAATTAATTAAAGAGATATTTTAAAAAACCAACATACATTTTTTATGAATAATAAACTTAATAAATTTTCTTAATCTTTATAAATTAGTTTATCCATCTTTTATATTTAGGACAAGATAAATACAATTGGAAAAAAAAAACAAAATTTTAGACTCGTGCTCTTCGCATAGAAGTTGCCACGAACCTTAGAAACTCATACACATCTGAATATTAAGCTGCCAAAGTTTACTATTGTAGAGTATAATACAGACGCGCATACATATACGTACGTATTGCTACTCTAGTTGCTTTGAATTTATTAATTATAACAACAAAATACTGAACGCCATCACAATGATTGGACTTCTCACATTGTGGGTTCCATCTGACCAAACAAGGATGAGGAGATTGCTGTATGACTTCTCCAAAATTCAGCAACTTGCAATCCAAATTTGATATTTTTTAAAAATATAAAAGAATTCACAACTCAAAATATAATTATTTTGGTGTGAATGGATAATTTAAATTCTGTAATTTATAACAGGAATTTGATGATTTGCAATGCAATTTTGGCTATTTACATGAAATATAAAGGTATTCACAACCCCAAAATACAACTGTTGAGGTACAAATGAACAAATCAAATTTGACAATTTACAAGAAACATAAAGGAATTCACAACTCCAAAATAAAGCAAGTGTATTTTTGTCTTTTCACCCGTACGTAAAATTTTAGTCCTTAGGGGTGTAACGAGATTTCAAATATTTTGATTTTGAAGGTCAACTGGTATTGTTCAGGTTTATTGAAATTCTTCCTTGCAAGTTTCAAATTGTAGGACAAATTACGTATACAATAACCATACAGAGAAACTCACATCTGAATATTAAGCTGCCAAAGTTTATTATATATTGTAGTATAATACAAACACACATAGATACGTCTTTTCAACTCTGGTTGCTTTTATAATTTATTATAACAATAACAGACTCAAAAAAGATTCTTATAAAAGATCCTCAAAACCCATCACAATGATTGGACTTCTTACATTATGGGTTCCATCTGACCAAATCAACGACGAGGCGATTGCAGTTTGATTTGAGATTCCTTCTCCAGCAACACTAACAACAAAAGACATCTTCTCATTCAATGATTTGAACGAAAGAACTTTGGGTTCCACTGTAATATTCACCTTACCATGAGAATCTGATAAAACAACGCTTGCTTTGTAGGTTGAATTGGCAAATCCAACGTTTGTCACTGTCCTCTCAAATTCAACCTTAAATGCAGTCAAAGGCTTAATATTAACGCCAAGTATGGGATAATTCAGATTCTTGACTAACTCTCTTTGAGGAGATCTGGGACAGGTACTATTATTGTTTCCAGAAATCATCTTAATCTGTGAACTGTTATAACCAAAATTGCACAACATTTCCACATAATCTTCCTTGGATATGTCATAAACCAACCCAGGATCACTGGCTTGAACTGGATTCACATGCCCAGATCCATATTCAAACTCACCGACAGCATCCTCAGAATAAGATTTCTTCATGGGTTTTGCAGTTGTTAAAATGGCAGATTTGATAGCTGCAGGCGACCAATTTGGGTGAACAGTCTTCAAATATGCAGATATACCAGAAACATGAGGGCAAGCCATGGAAGTTCCTGTCAAAAAATTGTAATTCACAGATCTTTTGTCTTCTACAAAACTTGAAACCGATCCAACTGGTGAATATGCAGCCAAAATATCAACTCCAGGAGCACTTATATCTGGTTTTAATATCTCCGGTACCAAGTAATTTGGCCCACGTGAAGATATTTTAAATGTTCTTGGAGCATTCTCATCTTTAACAATCTCA